AAGAAGTTGTAAAGCTGTCACAAACTACTTTCAGTACAAATTCCACTCATTTTTTTTTTATTATTATTTGGCGCCGTCAAAGTAGTGATTGCTGCCAAAAACATTTTCTATTCTTTAGATATTTTGTGAAGTGATAGACAAAAAAAAGATTTTTAGAAGAATGTGTGTTTTAAATTTACTTTATATATTTATATCTGGAAATAGCTTTCAACACGATCGATCAAGTTAAAATCACCCAATTTCACCCCACAACTTCCCAATTAGAATTTTGATAAAACAAGTCGGAACTTTTAGGAGAAATTATAATTTAAAAAAAATGCATTAAAAACTAGTAAACGCAAAAGTTTAAGTGATTCATTCAGAACACTTTTAAATCGTTTGCACTTTAATATTAGAATAACTTTTGTTTATTTGAAAAAATTTTAAGAACTAGGGTTATATTTTACTACAAGTTCAACAGTTTGATTCTTACTCTTTCAGCACGTCAAACTGAACTGTGTAGCTGCATTTCTATGGACTATGGGGAGGCACGCATGACATTTTTTACTACAAGTTTAGCAGTTAATAATTCCTGAAATAACTATCAAATGTTATTTTTTTTTATTTTCAAGTTTCTAATCCTTATAATTATTAGAAGCTTCTAATACGTTAATTCGTAGTAATTTTGCAATGTAAATTTGAACATTTTAAATAGTGGCTGCTCTGAGGATTTTTTTAATATAAGTCAAAACAATTATTTTTATATTGCGAATGTTTCATAGCGATCATATATTAAATATATATATTTAGAATCCTTGTAAAAATTCGAGTAAAAAATATATACATTAAGGCATTTAAATAAGATAAAAACAAAACTTCCATAGAAATCTACTAAATCACAAATAAGAAAGAAAGAATAAAAAAAAACATCAAAACCAGTTTGATTTTCAGGTGGAACTTGGTGTTTAAAATAATCACTTCTAACCTCCTCTCTGTATCGTTAGGCAACCGAACAGGTTTTGATAACTTTAATTTCTGCTTTTCTCAGCCATGATTCGTTAGATTTCGATAAGTTTTTATATTAGGGTGGGTGACATTCACACATTACACAACAGAGAACAACACCCAGAGAGAAACATCTATGCCCTGAGCGGGATTCGAACCCGCAACCATTGGCTTCACAGTCGGACACGCTGACCGCTCGGCCACCTGGACGACTTATTTAAAATTTAAAGGATTATAATTCTTTAACAATTGCTTGTGTGTGAAGGATGCTTATAAAAACGAATTTGTTTACTCTTTTATGAGGACCGCAATAATATAACACTAAACATGCCATTTATAATTCGAACACATAATTTAATAAGATCACACGAATCAGCGTTTTGGGGATACTTTAAGAATAGCAACTTAAAATGTGCAATATTTATACTTTAATTATGCAAAAACAATACTCGGAAACATCTGTAATGGTGTAAGTCGTCACCACTATTTTTGATTAGATTAACTATTTCTGGTGGATCGCTGAAGAAACCAAATATAAAAATTTCTAAAATTAAAAACCCATTTTAAAAAAATGTATTCTTAATTTTTTTTCTGAACGTAATTTAAGAACTGCTTCTAAAAAAAAAACTTTTATGTTTAAAAAAATAATGGTGAGAGAAACCGCAAACTTAAATGTAAATAACATATTAAAAATAGTTTTTGGAAGGGGTAAATGGATAGAAAGTTATTTATATATGTCTTATTATGCATCGGTATTTCACTATCAATGAACATCTGGCTATATTACCGGTGCATAAGTCAAACCCTCTGATTTTCCTCACATTTGAAGGAAGTGAAAAGTGGATTTATATGAATTTGATTTGCATGTAGTTCTGTTTCTTTAATATCTCAGTATATTTTGGTTATTTCAAGCTATAACAAAAAAAAATATTATTATCCGCTAGTTTATTATAATTTTTATCACTTGAAACTATATAACTTAGTGCAATACGCTAAAATTTCTATATTTCCCACTATCCAATAGTATTTCGTTTAAATAATAATTTTAAAAATATAATTGAGAAAATACTTAATTAAAAATGCTAATTAAAACATTGGAAAGTTTTCGAAACAGTTTTCGAAATTGGAATAAAAGGCCAAAAGTCGTGATTATTTTTTATATTGCATGCAATATAAATATAATTTCATGAATTTTACGTACAATATATTTTTATAAACTCTCAACTAATATCATTTCATACTGGAGGGACTTAATTAGTCCTAAGCATCGTTCTTATCTAATCTAAACATAATTATTAAAGCATATCGAGTAATGTGTGTTAATACATTTGATAATACTCTGACTGGAATCTAATCATGACTTCACTTCATCCTTAGCATCAGTTTATACTTGCATTAAAGTTAGCCTTATAAAAGGTTGTTGGTATACAAGGGACTATACAAATATTGTGTAGTCCCTGAAGAGAGAATTGGCTAGAGAGCACAATTTTTACAAATTTATCAAAAAATTCATATTTAATTCAACTTTTAACTCATGAGATTTTTTTAACAATTATTTGGATGCATTTGTGGCGTAACTTCCACTATAAATATTAAATACCGAAATCCCCGTATATAAGACACCGTTATAAATACCGTATATAAGACATGTTAACTTGATTCTACCTTTTGATAGATTAGAAGGTTGACATAGTCTAAGATTTATAATTCTCCACAATGGTGACCTGCGGACGTGATATGAAGTTGCCAACATTGATGGATGATACACATTAAACAGTTCATTTGCTTAAAAATATACTGCTCAAAGTTCGGTAAAGTATTAAATAGTCTCACCGGTCAATAAACAATATTGAAGAAAAAAAAATGAGCGAAATGCTATAAAACAAATATATATATATATAATGAGCAAAAAATTGATATAAATAAATAAACAGCATGAATCAACTAGTGGTATCCGTTCATCGAATTCTATAACAGATAAAATTCTGGAAGGGGAGTAATGTGGCGTAACTACCGCTACAAATATTAAATACCAATTCACTAGTATATGAGACATGTTAACTTGATTCTATCTTGAGGTACCTTTTGATAGATTAGAAGGTTGACATAGTCTAAGTTTAAATCCCCACACATTCTGGCTTAGGTCTGAAATACCTAAGTTAAGATTTCCACACTATATTTTTTGAAGAAGTAGTTGTTTTTGTCCACAAGCTATAAGCATAGCACATTTTCTGTTCATGTAGTAGTTTATTATCACTCATAAAGGTATATCTATAGCTAAAATGAAATCCACTTCAATTTAAGCCTCATTGGAGAATAAATATTGACATACTTTGATTAAAATACTAATTTGTAATACAGTATTTTACAGTAGTAAGAAAGAAATTTTGAGCTCAAAACCATACGTTTACAAATAATTATTCAATTCGACTTATTTTAAAGCGCAAAACCAATTTTTAGTTGAATCAGGTTTAAATAACCACAGTTTTACTCGGACAACACTCGGCGCGCATAGCTTAGCTATACTCGCAAAACAGAAAACGAGACTATACTGATGTTCTGTTTTAGTTTAATGTACACTATCTGGCCATTAATGACCGGACACCCCTCATTTCGGATACATGAGGTGCTAGTATCAAGTCAGTAAGGCGTCCGTATCACAGCTTTAACCCTTCTAGGAAGACTATCCACTAGGTGTTGGTACACGGCGGCAGGTATTGCCCGCCATTCCTCCTGTAACATGGCGAAGAGTTGAGTGGTGGTTTTGGGGCGTTGTGGTCTGTCCCTCAACCGGCGCTCCCACTCATCCCAGAGATGCTCAATTGGATTGATGTCGGAACTTTGGGATGGCCAGTCAAGCTCTTGCACCCCCATTTCATCAAACCAGTCCGTGATGACATGTGCTTTATGAATAATAGCGTTATCGTGTTGAAACACAAATGGGCCATTACCGAACTGTTGCCACAGGGTGGGAAACGCCGAGGATTGTCCAGGATGTCTCTATACCCTTCTGCGTTCAGGTTTCCACGCACTAACACCAAGGGTCCAAGACCAAACCATGAGAAACAGGACCACACCATAATTTCTCCACCGCCGAACTTCACAGTGGGGACAATGCACTCCGGTAGGTACCGTTCTCCGGGCATTCACCAGGTCCACACCCGTCCATCAGAGTGCCACAACATGTAGCGTGACTCATCACTCCACATAACGTTTTTCCATTGTTCTACTGTCCACTGGCGACGTGCTCTGCACCACTGAAATNCATATGAAAGTATACATCGATGTTGCTAATCTACGATATCTTGCAGAGGAAATTTGACCCATATTAAAAAAAGTTATTCAAGATGCCCACTCCAGTCCCATGTCTACACTAGTCCCCCCCCCCTCTCCTGCATATTTTATGATGATTTTGAATCTTGATACCCTTGTTTAGAAAAACAAGCGAATTATAAAATCTCCCACCGTGCGTTTTTCAAAACGTAATTTTACCTTTAAATTTAATCATTTTCTAAATTTATAATGTTTTTTTTCCCTTCTTTTTCGGTAAAGAAAAAAAAGACATTATAAATGACTTACATCAATCATACTCCTACCCCTAGTCAGCAAAAATAAGCAATTAGAAACCCATCTCTCTTGTTTAGTGCTTAAAACAGGCTATTACCTGTAACCATCGTAACGATTCCTAATGATAGAGTAAAAATATCTAAAACATGGTCTTTAACTAAATATTTTAGATTTTAAAAAAAAAGTGTTTATTTTGAAAGTGATCAAAGTTCATTTATATTTAAATCAAAAATTATTTGTCATAAATGTATGCTATCCTAAAATTGTGGTTAAAATTTCATTCTAAGTTTGCAATCACCTGTCTAGATGCGCATGCACACAACCATTATTTTATCTTATTTATATATTCGACAAAAAGATATTACTTTAACATAAATCTGTACAGTGAAAAATGCTTTAGATCGAAGAAAAAAATATTACAAATGATATGAACTTTTTCCCTGTTGCAGGGTAAGGAATAATTGATAAAAAAGAAGAAGGGAATCGGTCAAAATCTGGAGCGGAAAAGTAGGAGACAGACTATTTTTCTACTCGGTGAGACTCGGGATCAAAAACTGAATTCCCTAAGGAGAGTCTCAGAAACGGCCTCCATGTTCCTCCACAGAGCTATGAGGTAAGTTAAACTACTGATCAGCTAACATGGGAAGTTCTTCCGACTTTAAGATATCTGTTGCAAATGAGAGTAAAACAATTTCTGATTGTTGCGGCCCTCGGCCTTTTCAATCGGCCATGGCCAGATTACGTAGTGGCCATCTTAAGTGTTTAAGGTTTCATAATGGGGAGAAGACTTTCCAACCTTGTTCCTGCTCACAACCTGCTAGTCCTGATCACTTTATTTTTTGTCTTGGCGCTTCTTTTAAGCAGCTGCTGGTCGGGACTTTCTGCAGAGATATGGTGAACTAACGCGACGGGACCTTCTGGACATGGTCCAGGCTTTCCTTCTCCAGGGGGATGTGTAACAACAACACAATTTCTGATAGGGGAGAATCAAAGAAATGACATTCCAAACATAAACTCAAGCGGATTGGTAATTCAACATCCCAAATCAAAAAGATTTGTCATTATAGCCAGAACGCGATTCTGTTGTCTGCAGAAGTTCTCGTTACAGTACCTTCTTTTCCTTTTGAAGTACGGGAATTAAAAGGCAATAATTCACTGTTTCGAAAAGTAAATTATAACATGAAAGTGTTCCTTGTTTCCAAACAGGTACTTCACACGTTTCCGAAATTTTCCTAGAAGGAAGCCCATCTTTTTTGCCAAATGAAAATCGTGGAGTTTTTCACTAAACACACTCACACGTCTGAGCAATGTAAAATGTGTGGCTTAACATTATAATGTCCTACGCCTTTCAATTACACACATGTTCCAAAAATTAAGGATAATGCTAACTCTGAAAAATAAAGGTTCAGAAATATAACAAACGAAACTACATTCATAAAGCGTATTCATTAAACGAAAGATAAAGAATTAAAAAAGATGGCGTATGTACGATATCATTCATAAAAGCTACGACTTTCGCACCCTACAGCAATTACAAAAAATATCTCCTTTACAAAACTTAATATTATATGGTTAAGTTAATACATTAAATGTCTCTTATGCAATGAAATACAGTCCGTACTTAGCTTAGGCAACCTGAGAATCAAATTATCGAGCTAATCTTGAGGAAGGATAGTCCACTCGACAAGCAATGAACTCCGAAGTTCCAGTACACGTGCAGGGGGTGGTTGACAGGCTGCAAATAGTCAGAAACTCGTTGGTCCCACACATGCACTATCGGATTCAAGTCAGGTGAGAATGTTGGCTACTCCATACGGGTGATATCCTCAGATTCGTTTACGATGTTTGCTCTGTAAAAACAGGTGTTGCCATCCATAAACACTAATTCTTTGCCCATGGCATCCTTAAACATACGTACATGTTCTTCCAGAATGATATCCCGATAAATGTGACCAATCATGGTTCCGATTTGAACATGTAGATTTGTTCTGGAGCCCAGTATGCTTCCACCTCAAACGAACAACCTTGGATCACCGTAACGGTGTCGTTCAGTGACGTTCTATGGGTGGTAACGGGTACCTAGCGTTCTCCATATCAAAGCCTCACGTGAATCAGACTACACTGGATTCGTCGGAAAACATACCCTCAAACCCACAGTTACGATTTTCACATTGCATGTTCTCTATTTCAGGCTAATCGCTGGTGACAGTAAGTTGCCGACAACGGAACACATCTGAAACATGGCTGATTACAGACCAATATTTACCAAACTTCGTACACGGTTTGCCTTGAAACTGCGGTACCCATGGCTGCAGATAACTGGCGAGACAGATCGGATACTATGCTCCGTCTGCTTCGTTAGGCAGCTACAGCCAAATACCTGTTTTCATTACGCAGGCATTTCATTTTCGTTACGCAGGTAACCTGTACTGTAACGGCTCATGTCAGTAGACGTTACTGACTTTGGGGAATTCCATCTCAGTACGTCGACATTCCAAGTGGCCGATAATTATACATACCACTTAAAAAACCTGCAACGTACGTTCTCAGTATCATAACTTTTCGGTTATGGCACTGACCGGCTTACAGAAAGCTTGTGAACCATTTTATTTCTTCGTCCCCATTTACTCTCTTACTCTCCATTCTATTCTTCCATTTTACTCTCTTACACTTTCGTCATTCTGACGTAATATATGCGTCAGGTATAATTTGTATATTATTCTTGATGATGTATGTGAAAATTCCACGAACAAAAATTATTTTTGAAGTTCAACTTCCATGTAATTCTGGATTATTGATTCTGATTTCTCAATTATCTTGAATTGTACCTTTAATGTATATTTTTTACAGAGCCCAAACAACTTTCTAACAGTTTCCATTTAATTCACCGCATAAAGTTTAAATAGATACTTAATAAACAATTTTTACCGTATTTGTTTAATTTAAAGAAAATGAAGGGCCGAGATAGCCTGCTCGGTAGGGTGCTGGGCCTATGTCTGAGAGTTCGTGGGTTCGAACCCCGCCGGCCGAAGACTCCCCGTGTAGTAAATGGTGAGTGATGCACGTTAAATCTGCCGAGTCGCAAAGTCCTCTATGTTCCCATAACAAATCAATACATCTGAGGGTACTGGATTGAAGATCGATCGTTTTCTGATTCAGGTCAAAATTACGATCTGTGGATGTATGAATGGGTCCGCCCTATAAAACGTGCTGTGACGTGTGTGTGGCTGAAGACGAATTCTTGACCATAGGATGGCGCCACTGAAAAAACAAGAAACGCACACTCTGCCTTAAATTTGCCCGGTTTCACCAAGCAAGCTTGCCCGTGTGGCAAGTGACATTAGAAACAACAACAAAGATAATGAATGAATTAAAGTTTTTATCAAAATAATTGCAATTTTCAAACATTTATCCAAGTTATCCAAGTAAATATTTATCCTAGTAAAAATGAAGCATGGGTTGAACATTTTTGAACAGCAACGAAAAAAAAAAGTTTATATTAATTTTAGAACTATATAAATTTAAAAAACAAAAACATTCGATGTGTTTTTGTTTTATTTGAGAATATTTCTTTAAAAAATCAAATTTCTAATTAACTATAGACAATTTTTTTTCTTACGCTGCTTACTTAAGAAACTATTGCTTGAAAAATAATGAGAAGAGTTAAACAGAAATTTTAAGGATTGAACTCTTCTCATTCTTCTCAACTCAGAAATTATAAAAACGTTGAAAATTTAAATAATATACTAGGATTACAATAATAGTTTTTTTTTTTCAAAATAAAAAAATCTAAAATAATTCCTTACAGTGCAAATAAAAAATAAAAAACGGACTTAAAAATTACCAAAGAAATTAATTGCGAAAAAAACTCATCCTATGCTTCAAAGGACCAAAAAAAGTCAAGACTTTTCACTGCTACAATCTTCGGTTAGCACAGTAAAGCTATACGAAGAAAACTGTAGCGGAGGAGATAGTGGCGTTACTGAGATAACCGAAGAATAAAATTGAAAATTCTTGATAACAGGAACAGACGAACTGTTGAAGGCGGAAAGTGTTATATTGTTCTTTCAAAGTAACAGGCGGTTTTTTTCTGCTATCTAACTTCCGCTTAATGCAATTTTTATTTCCTATTGCTATGGTAAAAATCATGCTTAAATTTAAAATTTTTACATTTAACAGATTTTACAATTTTAATGAAAAGTATTCACTTTTTACCAGAATTCTTCTTATAGAATTTCATGTTTTAACTTAATTTTTTTCTTCTTTTATGTCAGAAATTTTGACTTAACGTTACTTTTTCAGCAAAATTTAAACAATCACTTTCCTTTTGTTATATTATTAATGCAAAAATTACTTTAAATTTTTAAATTATTTCGACAATTACTAACTTTTGGTTATATTATTATTTCAACAATCATTTTGCCTTTGTTACATTATTTATTCAATGCTTATTTAATTTCTTATATATTTTCAACAATCATTTTCCGTTTGTTACATTATTATTTCAATGATCACTTTCTCTTTATTACATTATTACAACAAATACTACCTTTTTGCTATAATATTATTTCAACAATTGCTACCTTTCTGTTATAATATTATTTCAACAATTACTACCTTTCTGTTATAATATTATTTCCACAATTGTTTTCATTTTGTAATATTATTATTTATGCAATTGCTATGGTTTTGTTACATTATTGTTTAAACTATGATAATCCTTATATTTTACTTTTTGATATTATTTTATTTATGCATCTTTATTTGTAATATAAAGTAAATTAATACTGAATGCTTAAAACAGTAGCAGGAAGGAGCTTTAGACGAAAGTGGAGTGGCATATTCAAGAGCTTTTAGTTCCGAAAAAAAGAGGCATGGGAAACCTAAAATTGACCTCTGAACTACAGTATGTGAATTTTCTTATGCAATTTCGTCAAAATTCTAAGATTTTAATTTTCTTTTAAAATAACAGTCAAAAATTTCCACCTTTTTATATTTACTCCTAAAAAATTTTTACTGGATAAGATAATTAAAAGTTTCTAGTTAAAAATGAAGAACAACAAAATTCAATTTAAATTTACTTATTTCATTAGTCAATTCGACATAATCGGTTTATAAAATGTAGTTATCGAATATTAGAGCGTGCATTCATTAATGAAGGCCATAAATCTCTCAAATTATTTTGATGATTTTGTTAGATATTTTGAGATTTTTATAGCACGTATACCGCCTCATTAATTTTAATTTAAAAATAAAGCCATGAAAAAGAATCATACGAATTAAAGTCATTTGAAGTTAATGATTATTTGATGTTACTTTGTGACGTACATATTGCTCCGACTGACAATGACCACTGTACAAGCTCAAGTTGTCACACTAACCGGGGAAATTTCTCCTTATTTCCCCCTTTAGGAAACGATGGAAAATTTACTCAAAAATTCTCCAAAAAAAAAGCCGGGGCGGGGGATAGAGCTCGAAATGAGGTGACTCGGGTTGGAATCCCAACAATAGTTGGTCGATATGAATTCCACACCCGGTTCTCAATGACGCAAAATAAGTCAGGCTAACCGTGGGAAGTTTCGATGGATTTCCTCTCCATGTAACGCAAATGAGGGTTAGTTCCATCAAAAAAGTCCACCACGAAGTTACTTGACACATGAGTTCCCTTGTCTTCTGGATTGGGCTCAAAATTACAAGGCTACGGAGTTGAACATTGGTAGTCGTAAACTCAAAATTGGGTCGACTATTCAACGACAGTTGTAAAATAAAATCTTCGATCTAAAAATTCCATCGTCTTCTGAGTTGGGCTCAGAATTAAAATGCAGCGAGTTGAATACCGCGGTATAGGTCGGTTAATAAATACTGATGATAAAAATCTTACTTGTGTTGTAAAATTTGTTGTAGTTGTGCTGTTAAATTTCAAATAAATAAATATTTTTTTTAAAAAAAATTCCAAAAGTAATGAAAGGAAAATTTTTTTGAATAACGGGAAGGAAAACGGAGAAGTGTTTTGAAACTTTTAATTGCATTACCCTGTACTTATTTCTTGATTCAAATTCTTAACGAGGTCACTTGTCTTCTTATAATTTTCTTCTTCTGGTGTTCTTTTTCTGGTTCTTTAATCATTTTAAGGTCTTATCATCTAACAATAGTTTCACTTCTGGGTACCCATCTTCTATCACCACACGATTTGGTTTCTTTGTAACAACTCCAACTTTCCCTCTGTATCTCATAGCCTATTACCGACTCAGAATCTTGAAGAAGCTAAATGAATACCTTTTGTCTTTTTTAGGTATTACAGGCTGTGGATCTACTCATGCAACCTAGTACTACTCGTAAGCGTGGTGGCCTTTGTATCAATAGCTGCATGGATTATCTCTGACTTCCGAATGTCGCTCTTTCCCTCCATCGATCTCCGCCACCCTAGCCTGCTCTATGGCTACCTAGCCCTCGCTCTTCAGGGAGGCATCTTGCAGGCAATCGGCTGCATCGGGGCCATCCGCATGAACGAGCGCCTCCTCAACGTCTACTGGACCCTCATGCTGATTCTCCTGTTCGGCGACGTCGTCTTGGGAGTAGTCTGGCTCTTCCGTTTCCACAACATCTCCAGCCACCTCAGAGAAGAGCTAAGAACACGACTGACGGAGAAATTTGGCGTCGACGCCGAGTTCCAACTCCTGTGGGATCGCATCCAAACGGAAACGGAATGCTGCGGCGTGGACGGACCACAGGACTTCATCGACAGTGAGTGGTTAAAAAAGGACAGGCAGGAATATCCCCAGCACCATCAGATGGTGCCCAGAAGCTGCTGCAAAATGCAGCAAAGGTCCTCCAGTTACCACGAGCCCGAACCTCTGAATATATCCTGTGTGGAAACGGACAGAAGTCCGGGTTTCATTCACCTTACCGGTTGCTACGATTCGGTCCACAGGTGGCTTCAGCATGCGGCTGATCTTCTTTGTGTACTCGGTTTCTGCGTTATAGCATTCCTCAAGCTTTGTTTTGTCGGCATTCTTCGTTATGAGATAAGGGAAATGATACAAAAAATCAGGGTCTTGCGCGATATGAGCGAGTCACCCGGACTTATGGACCCGACGGGACCTGCCAGTCTCCTTCCGGGTCCGGCCATGGCCGCCAAATTCCGGCGCCAAAGAAGCAGTACCGTCGAACAGAAGCAACCTCCCAATGGTAACAACAATGACGCAGACCCTGTTTCGTCCCCTGCGAAGAAAAGTTCGAGCCCTGTGTGAGACTTTATTCTGATGAGTACCTAACAAAGTATCTATCATTATAAGAAAATATATTATCTATAAATAAGAGGGAAGCTCCCTCTGAGCCTACGATGATCCAATTTTCAGGTCATTGGAAACAACATTAGTGAGAAGACACCGTTATATAGTCTATATAACTTTGCATTCATGTAAATAATGAATACACTACACACAGAGGAAGAGAGCATTCAGAGTTTTATTCATACAGGTGCAATTTATTGAATTCCTCTTTTTATGAATGAGCTTCAAAAAACTGTTAAGTTATAAAATCATCCCCCCCCCTACATAACTTATAACTGCGCATTCCATGTAGGGAAAGGGGTAAAACAGCTCGCTGTTTTGTCTTAAGAATATTTTCACAATAGTAGGACACATGATGAAACAGTTCGTGGCGACCTATTTTTGGACTCATCCGTTTCAGGGGGCCGTAAAAAAATTAACAAATTATTATTGAAGCCAGTGAGGTTTTATTAAGTGGGGTAATAGGTACTACTACAACTGTGTAATAGGTATCTAATATACTAATTTAAGTACAGTGGTTATAGGCTTTTTACGGCTTCCGAAATAGATAAGTACCCGTACTTTCACAATATTTTTCGTAACAATAATTAATTTCAATAATTAAGTAAAAAATTATTAAAATTAAAAAAAGCCATAACCGAAAATGATTTATTTAACGTTAATATCATTATAAATCACATGGCGTGAAAAAGAGGAATTAAAACACGTACGTTTAGATTTTAAATAGAGTCAATTCTTGATTATCCAGGCATGTATTAACGAGGGCAAACGTGAGGTAGATTATTGAATGGATTAGTTAGAAAGACTTTAAAACAAATGATATAATGAAGCTTTCTTAATCCGATTACCTATCTTATTGGTGCTATTAAAAACATTTTTTTTTGCGTTTATTTCCCTTCCCGTTAAATCAAAAAAGAATTTTAAATAAATCAAGACCCGTAAAACTCTGATACATTACCTCTGGTTTAAAAAAAATCGATTTACCATAATTAAGATATGACTAAAGTTTTTATTGACGTGCAATTGAAAAAAAACATATCTATCCTTGCACTTACATTGCGTTTTGAATTGCACGGCATTTTCACCACCGGAGCTATAGACAGGACTTGATTTAAAAAAACTATAAGTATTTGCCTAAATTATATAACAGAAGAAAAAAAACGTGTATCCTAAGAATATCGTAGATAATCGTTTATTTAACGAAATAAATTTTTCACTAGCGTGTTAAACTATACACTAACTAGTGCAATAACCGATTTTTAATGAGTCATATGATTGGCTGTTTTTTTCCGACAAATCGAACTCAGATTACTGGTTTTCATGAATGTTTTATTTACACTTTGATCTCCAAAAATTATATTTTTAGACATTTTGATTTTAACCTTATGAGCTCATATTATTTAAAAATACATAAAATTTTAAAATTGGCATACCATTGCTGTGACACGGGTAGAAACTTTTCTTTAAGGAAAATGAAATAGACTATAAAATTAAGCAACAAAAAAAAAAGAATAGCTAAGAGAAAATGAAAGTAATCACCAGGTAAGAAAAGGTAATCAGTTTCAACAATTGTAAATTGTCAAAAAGGACTACGTGTAATCCGGGGATTATCTCCTCATTAACTAGTCAGGATAATTGGGAGTTGACTGTACAAGCTACTTAAAAAAAGTTCCAATGGAATGATTTTGAAATACTTCTATTTCTACTTATCTCAATTCATTCCTTCTTAGGCATTTTCTACAAGCGCATAGAGATCAGATATTTTCTTTAGGGAGCTTTTCGTACGAAAACACAGATAAGTACATTACAGCTAACCACAAATTTTGAATTTACAAAAAAAAACACAGTCTTTCAAATTATATCAATAATCGACGAACACTATTAATGAGTTCAATTAGAACTTCTAAGTCTGACGAAAGATCTCCGAATTATTCCAAAAAAGTAAATGAAAACAGTACTTAATTATATTTGTAATAAAATATAAAATCCAAAAAAATAAGTAAAAAAATTTTTTTTCATTGATATCCAAAAATTTATTAATAATTTATTTTGTAAATTAACGAAATTTCAATCATGAATAACTGTTTCTACAAGATCTGAATAACTGCGAATACTTGCAAATTTTAAAAAAATATAGTTTGGAAGGGAACCTAGTTAGGAAGATTTTACCTTTAACGCAAAAAAAGGCATCAATGTTTCATAACCATAAAATTTTTTAAATGCTAAATATAATATTTTTTACTTATTTTGACCCAAATTAATGTAAAATAATGAAGAAAAAAATATGTTTCATAAAAATTTTGAGCCAAATGGTTAAACTTAAGTTAATATACAGATATGCATTTGAAATTCTTTTATTTATTCCCAGTTAATTTGAATGAAGTAACGAGCTAGTAAACCTATCTAAAAATTATAAATTCAGAAACTAATTATTTCGAAACTTTAAACAACTAATAAAGGTTTTTTAATAAAACTTCTTATGAAATACTTAAGAAGTAAAAATTTTCTTCATAATTTCATTCATAAAAGAGGATATTATCAAGTTTAGTAACAAAAAAATATTCGATTCTTTTTAGTAAAGAAAAATGGAATTTTTTAACGTAATTTGGGCACAATACGTAAAGAATTCGTAAATATTATTTCAGAAATAACAGTAAAGAAAGAAGTGTGGTAGAATAATTGAGTCAATTAACCAAAGTTAGAATATAAATGTATAATTATACATATTTAAAAAAATATTTTCATTTTTAATAAATATATGAAAAATAATATTATTCCATAACAATAAAATTCATAGGAAACATAATTCATAAAATAATGTAATTCATAAGAAAAGCTAGAATAATTTGAATTTTTCCTAGTTAATAAGTTTCTCTGGGGAACAGTTTTAAATATAAAACATTTGAAAGGCAAAATAAAATATCCTAATAGAATCATAAAAAATAAATTAGCAAGTATCTTGATTTTAGTTTTAAAAAAAGTTTTTTTTTTAATAAACGCAAAAATTAAATATTATCAGAACTAAATAATTAATCCGTTTTTGATTTTATGGATTTTCATATTTTTTAAAAGACGATAAAATATTACGATTTAAATCAATATTTTTGTATCAAGTTAAAATCGTGATTTAAATCAGTATTTTAAATATTTCAATTTAACTTTCGAAATCTTACTTAAATATTTTAAAATTGAAATATTTCTGATATCGTGCTTTTTAATCTCGGAGATCTTTCAATGTTATATTTCTTACAATTTCGTATAATCTCAAATTTTTGAGAAAAAAATACAACTTCAAATTAGCAGGCAGTAATGATCAAGCAAAAAGAGTTTGGTGAAAGGAAAAAAAAATAACTTCACCAAAACTCTTCAAGTGCCTAAACATAACCGTTCTGCCAAATTTATCATTTAAGCGATAATATATCGCATATCAAAGAGAAATTTAAGCACTTTTTCGTCACTTGACTCTATTAAACATAATCTCCACTGAAATATCACATACAACTATTTAGGAGAGTTTTCTTAAATTAGTTTAGATTCATTTATTAGTTATAGAATTAGGTCAGATTATATAAGAGATATATTTAAATATTAGAAAATATTTCTACATATCACACATTATGTTAAGAATTAAAAAAACACGACAGTGACTAACAATAATTTTAAAAAAAGTCACCATTATGTTATCAAATATGGATTCTTGACTGAGGACAAAGAATTCAAAAAATTTTTTTATGTTATCAATTATAAACACGCGACTAAAAACAATCCTAAAATAAATTATCTTACCAATTGTGGGTTCGTGACTGAGAACAATAATAAAAAGTTATATTTGTTACCAATTATAAATCCTTAGTAATCGTAAACCCAAAAATTGGGTCGACTGTTCAACGGCGGTCATAAAATAAAATAAAATTATAAATCCAAGACTAAGAATAACAATATAGAAAATATTTTAGGCTAACAATATGGGTTCACAACTGAGAGTGATAACTAACATACATTTTTAAAAAAAACTATTATTCTACTATTTATGAATTCATGATCATGATCAATAATAATAAAAATTACTTTATATTAACAATTATGGATTCATAACTAAACCTTATGATAAAAATATGCGTGTGTGCTACCAATTAGAAATTTAAAAATTCAGAAAATATATAAGGTTACGAACACGAATTCACAACTGAGAGTGATAACTAATGTCTATTAACGGCGATAACGATTATTAAGCGTTTTGTTACTTTTTGAGAGCTAACGGTAAAAACAATTTATCCATTAAACCATTACATTAAACCATAAAAACCATTACATTTATCAAACTCTTTTTACTTTGTAACCAATTATGGATTTCTGACAAAAAAATTTCCATTTCAGAAAGAAAAAAAAAAGAAAGCCAAGTTCTTTCTTCTACAAAATCAAATCTCTGACAATGATGTAATAGAAATTAATTTTTCTTGATAAAGGGGAAAATTAAATTTTATGTTTATAAAGGTTTCGAAATCTGTGGGAAATGCAAATTTTTATTTTATTAAGGTATCCAACTGGGTGTCTATATTTGAACTTTTTTTTAATCATATCTTATAAATTTTTGAATAAATACTCTACAAGAGTTATGATGATTTCGAATTATTTTATAATAAAATAAATTGTTTTGGTTTTTTTTTTCTTTTTTTGGCAATCACATACTTTTTTGCATTTTCAGAAAAACGTTGATTTTGAGAAAATCTCTTTACTCTTAATATAGAATTCTTCAAAATTTTGTATGTAGATTTTTTATAATGTTATCTATGTTTTGAATTAAAAGATAAGTTTTAAGTGTGAACTTATTATTTTTATGAAGCTCTAAAATAAGAAAGTTTAGAATTTTTCTTTAAAAATCAATATTGAATAATATATCTAATTCTATTTCATTTTATATTTGAATTTTTTTTTTTTTTTTAATTTTAGTTCAAAACACAGGTAAAAACTATTATTGATCTTCTAGAGAGAGAAAAATTATTTTGCTATTTATGCATTAGTTTGTTGCTGAGCTGTTAGCGTGTCTTGGAAAATTTATATTTTTTATGCCCAAAACTGTCTTTATTTTGAAGGAAAAAAATTTAAAAATTTATGAAATTTGCTTTGTGAAATTTTAGAACCCCCGCTTACCAAAAATAAAATTAAAATTTTTATTAAGGACGTTTTAAAAAAAACCAGTTGGATACTTCAAGAAGAAAAAACTATAAATTTATTTTGGCAAAAATTTTAAAAAAATAAGAGAAATTTAAATCAATTTAAAAAATATAAGGTTCCACTTGTATATTTTGAGTATTATTTTAAACCATGAAATGAAACTAAAAAATTTAATTTAAAATATTATTTTACTTATTTAGGAAAAAAAATACGCTGATATAAAATTTTAGAAAAGAGATTTCCAATGAGGTGTACAAAGTATAAAATTTGTTTAATTGTTGACTTATCACAAAATTAAATTTAAAGTTAAACACTACAGGGTACGTAATGTGAATGCACGTATGTAATGTACGTACGTAAAAATGTCGAATCTCACAAATTTCAACACTGCTCGTAAAACAAATATTTAAAACTAACGATGCATCTAAAGACCTAGTAAAGTATCAATTATGCACTTCTACAATTGTAAACATTTCAAATTTACTTAAGATGAAAAACTAAAAATGAAAATAATTTAATTTCACCTCTTCTTTTTATCAAAAATAATTAAAAAAAATTTTTGAGAAACATACTTCCTTTTTTGGGAGGGAAAAAGCTTACATTAATCATTTAATATTTACTATAATACTAAATTCTTTACTCCATAAAAACATCTGTTTTAGGCATTTTTAGAATCCTTATTAAATATGACTTAAAA